TATCATCAAGTATTTTGCCAAACACTTGGTTGAAATGAAAATATATTATGACCATAACATTCCTGTAGTTTATAGAAAAAATTACTGAATCGGAAAACTAGATGATCTTAGTTTGGTAACATTTGTTCTTGAACAATATAATTTTAGGGATTTGAACTCTACAGGGATTCAAACAGGTATTTCCCTGATCACATCATTCCTAGTTTCACTGAAATTCAAAGCAATCTCTTCATTTTGCTATATTCAACTTTATGGTAGAAAACAAATCTCACTAGGAATGAAAATAGGAATTGAATTATTTTTATTTGTGTCTTAGTATTTTGCTGTCTTTATTGTGCAAGTGGTACACTTTTTCTATTCCTTAAAAAAATACTACCCGAAAAAAAAACATTGTTATTCCTAACATCCTTTACCCAACTTAGATGATTGTAAGCTTTAGTCTTTCTGATACCATATTTGCAATTCCAAGCTAACAGTATGGGTTCCTCACTGGTGACTTGTTCAATGGTAAGAGAGCCATTTTATGTTATTGGCAGAACATCACAAGGTTTGTGCAATGTCACTAGATTTTTGCCAGTTGTTTTCTCTCTTGCTGGAATAACAATTTTTTAGTGCCTCTTATTTTGGGAAACATCTCACTTCCCATCTTTGCTTCATTTTCTTATTTGTTTCTTCTGCTATAGGAAATTATTTAACATTAAACATGTGACTTTACATATTAAAATCCACTTTTATGAAGTTCAAAATGTATATTTGCCTGCACTTTGCCAATATGCGTGCGTATAAAGAATATGTAGTCAGTTTCCCCCAAGGATTGTGATCCGTCCTCTTTGCTGATTAAGTCTTCCCTTTTATTTAAACCTAGTCCAGAATAGCTAATTCTTTTGTACCTTTCTTCACCTTCTGAATATGAATGTTGCTTCTCCCTAAATAAGAAATTTGTGAGCAGGATATGTCAGGAATGTCCTGAACTGAACAGTTATAATTATTCAGCTATTCCATCTTTATGTTTTCATACTGGTTTGAAAAATCTGCAGTTTGCATTTGAGAAATCTCTCTTGCAATTTCTATTAATTAGGTCATCAGTAATAGAACCTATCACAATATTGTTTAATAAAAATTATTCAAACAATATTACAAAATTCATTCTTAGATTTAATTCATTCTTAGACGCAAAAAGAAACTATAGTCCAACCTACCAGAAACATAACTATAAAAAACAGACTTGGAAATAAAAGTTAAAATAAGCAAAAAAAATAGTAAGAGAACACCTGTCTGATCTTGATGAATACAAATCACCAGGACCTGATGGTTTATATCCCAGAGTTCTAAAGGAGCTGGCAGATGTCATCTCAGAACCATTGCACCACATCTTTCAAAAATCCTGGAACACTGGGGAACTACCAGAGGACTGGAAAAGAGCTGATGTGGTTCCCATCTTCAAAAAGGGGGGAAAAACAGATCCAGGAAACTACAGACCAATCAGCCTAACATCAATAACCAGGAAGATACTGGAAAAGATAATAAAAAACCAGATCTGCCAACACCTAGAAACAAGCAAAGTAATACTAGCAGTCAGCACGGGTTTGTTAAAAACAGATAATCCCAAACCAATCTTATTTCATTCTTCAACATAGTGACTAAATTAGTAGACCAGCGAAATACTGTGGACATAATATACTTAGACTTCAGCAAGGCATTCAACAAAGTAGAAGTAGAACCTACTTCTTCGTAAGCTAGAAAAAAGTGGGATAGATAGCTTCACACTAGATGGATTCACAACTGGCTGACAAACCATACTCAACGAGTAGTCCTTAATGAGTCTAAGTCTACATGGAGAAAAGTAAGCAGTAGGATGCCACAAGGTTCCGTTTTAGGCCCAGTACTCTTCAATATCTTAAAAAAAGAGTTAGATGAGGGTATAGAAGGAGAACTCACCAAATTTGCAGATGATACTAAGCTGGCAGGAATAGCTAACACCCTAGAAGATAGGCTCAAGATCCAGATGGATCTTGAAAGACTTGAACACTGGGCCCTATCTAACAAAATGAAATTCAATGTAGAGAAAAGTAAAGTCTTTTCTCTTAGGTAAGAAAAACCAAAAGCACACATATAAACTGAGGGAAACCAGGCTTAATAGCAGTGACTGTGAGAGGGATCTTGGAGTCTTAATGGACAATCAGCTAAATATGAGCCAGCAGTGTGTAGCTGTAGCTAAAAAAGCCAACGCAATCTTAAATCGCATTAACAGAGGGATACAATCAAGATCAAGTGAGGTACTAATACCACTCTATAAAGCCCTAGTAAGACCACATCTAGAGTACTACATCCAGTTTTGGTCACCACACTATAAAAAAGATGTTGAGAGACTAGAAAGAGTGCAGAGAAGAGCAACCAGGATGATTAGGGGACTGGAGACTAAAACATATGAAGAATGGTTACATGAACTGGGCATGGCTAGTCTAGTGAAGAGAAGGACCAGGGGAGACATGATAGCCGTCTTCCAATACTTAAGGGGTTGCCATAGAGAGGAGGGGGTCAAGCTCTTTTCCAAAGCACCTGAAGGCCAGACAAGGAATAATGGATGGAAACTGATCAAGGAGAGATTCAACCTAGAAATGAGGAGGAACTTTCTGATAGTGAGAACAATCAACCAATGGAACACCTTGCGTTTGGAAGTTGTGGGAGCTTCATCACTTGAGACGTTCAAGAAAATATTGGACTGCCATTTGTCAGAAATGGTATAGAGTCCCCTGCTTGAGCAGGGGGTTGGACTGGATGACCTATAAGGTTCCTTCCAACTCTGTTAATCTGTTAATTTCTGAACAGCTGTGTATATTTTTAAACACTTTGTAGAACTCTTCCCTTTTTATTGCTTATTCTCCTTTAAAGCAAATGGTATTTTTCAGTTGCTATATTCTAGTCATGGGAGACTCATTCTTCCAAATGTCAGTTTATTTACTCTTTTATTAAATGTATATGCTGCCTTTCTTTCGGGGCTCAAAGCAGCTTAAAGCAACCCATTGCTTCATCCTCGTTTTTGAATGATAGTAACCCTGTGAGGTAGGTTAGGCTGAGACACACTGAATTATATGTGTAAAGTCGTATTTCCCTTCCTATATTAAGAGTTCAAACTCACTTTATTTTCCATATGAAGAATGCATTAGACTTCTAATCTGAAATTGTGTTTTGGATTTTCTGATATGGATATGGGAAAGTGTTCATTTCTGCTCAGTTATCGTCAGGACCTGATTAAATGTGTCAGCTGATGATCAAAGCAAAGAAACCACTAGTGGAAATTAATTCTGAAAGATGGGCATATGACACACATAATTAACATAATTTATATGCACATTGAAAAGCCAGTCTGCAGTTAATGTATGCCTTTTACTCACTGCATGACAATATTAACATACAATATCCAGACTCCTTATTATTTCTAAAAGGAAACATCTTCTACTGGTTCTCTAAAACAATAATTGGATGTTACAAGTTAGCGAGAGGATGTAGAGAAAATAGGGCTGGCCTATACTAACTTTTTAAAAATTCTTGCGTGTTTAGGTTTCTTTATACTTTAACTAAGAATTAAAGTTGGAAATAATAGAAATTCTCGCAACAGTTTTATACAATGGCTATCTCTTGCTTAACTAGCACAAATAATGACATTTACAATGAAAGAGGATGTTCCTTTGATTCAGGATAGTACCATAATTGTAGGAAGCTGGCAGGTTAATATTCTCCAAATATATGGAGCAAATCTGTTGCTTTATTTGAATGGATGTCTCTAATTAAGTATATTATTTTCTTAGTCAATGTAGAACAATGTATTTTATAGATGGTTCTCTGCAACATGAAAAAGAATTCCCTATCTTCTATGTTTATGTGTTGAAACACAAGATTCTAGTTTTTGTATTTTTGCCCCTCACACCAAATTACATGAACCAATTAAATGACAGATCATTCTGTCCTCTAACTATAGTTAACATGTAAAAACTGTAGCTATCAATTCAGAGACACACCATATCCTAATTATCAGCTCCAAATATGGGGGCACAAGGATGCAGCTGAGTATGAATCAGTTGGGCAGCTGGGATTTTGGAAATCAGTTGGGAGGGTGGGGAGGATTGCTAGCTAGCATGTTTTTGGGTAGTTGCATAGTTCTATGCATGGAATAGCCTAAATAAATAAGAAGCCAAATAATTTAACAATTGTTTTGCACTCATCTTGCTGAAATGTTTTAATTACTTAACGCATTGTAAGCCGCCCTGAGTCTCTGGAAAAGGGCGGCATATAAATCAATCAAACAAACAAACAAACAAACAAACAAACAAATAAATAAATAAATAAATAAATAAATAAATAAATAAATAAATAAATAACATCACAGTTCTTTCACTGTATGGTTAGAAATGAAGAAAGCATAAAAAGATGCAGCAGCTTTGCTCAAATTTGTTAACTCACAGATCCGTTGGCCAAGATGGCTGGTGGAAGTGGGAATTCTAGTTCAAATTATTCTGGGGAGTGTCAATTTAGGAAAAGTGGGTTGTATTAAAAATGTGGAGTGGCAAGTTGTTGCAACCTTCCCTTTTTTTGTTAAAGTAATAATGAGTTCAAGTACAGTATGTGGGTGAGAACAAAGTGGAACCGAGATTGTCAACCATTTTAATTTGCAGTGTAAAATAAAAAAGAAAGGAATGCATGATAGGCAAAATTTATTTTTCTTTGAGCATTGCAGTGTCCACTGGAGTAATATGGAACTATCAGAAATTGCCAGTTAAGCTGAATGATGTGGAATATCAATGGTGAAATAATTCAATATGCTACATTTTTTTTTAAATACCTGTCAGAGTTATTAACTGACTCACCAGCTATGCTTGTTAGAACACCAACCTCAAAGTGTTTCCACCTTTTACAGTAGAAGTCAGTGTGATATTATTTAGGAAGCTATTTGAAAAGGCGAGTTCCAGTTCACAATGTATCTCTACACCTTTTCCTCCCAGACGAGCCCACCTCCGCCTGTGTTTAGAGCGCTTAAAAGTTCTGATACCATTAGGACCTGACTGCACCAGACACACAACCCTTGGGCTGCTTAACAAAGCCAAAGCACACATTAAGGTAAGAGGAGCATCACTTTCCATTTATAATAATGTTTCAGTTAGCCCACCAATCATAGTTGCAGATAAGATTATTATCTTCCTCAGAAGGTTCATACATGATGTTGATATAGTGTCTTTAAAAGCATGTCCCAGCATTTTTGTGGCATTATTTTTCTTGGTAAATTTGCAGAATTTGTTTGCTCTATAAGAAAGTCTGGTATAGAAATGATAGAAATCAGAAATCTGGTATAGAAATCATTGACTTAACGTTCAACACATCGTTGCTTAAATACCATCTTTTAAATGTCAACAAATTATTTAAAATTCCAGAATAGTATAGTTCCACAAAATACAATTAAGAAATATTAATAGGAATTTATATTATATCATTGATAGTATAAATTGTCATTGGGCTTCATCTAACAAAATGTTTTCTTGAAGTTCAATATTGTTTATTGAAATAACTTTTGAATAGATAGATGTATCTATATTTGAATGCCCAAATTTTATGGCACAGCTATCAAGATAATTCCTAAATTAAAAGAAGTTTTACTTCTCTGTTTCTTTCCTAAACTGTATTCAAGCATCTGACAAATACATACCAGGATTTGAAGTGTTACGTTTTTCATTCATGTTATTCATGACTTTATGATCGTAGATTAATTTTTTAAATACAAAAGATATGATAGTATTAGCATTATTCAGAAAATGTTAATCCTAAATATATTATACAGTACCATTGTGAAATAATAATAGAAGCGAAATGGTAAATATGTGTCTGAAATCATATAAAACATACTGTGCAAGAGTTCTATCGTGCCTTAATGATTGGTAGATTTGCTGAAAATATTATTAATTGACTAGCAGCCGTACTGTACCATCTTTCTTCAACCTACTAATGTTACTGTCCTCAGTTTAATTAGAGGGCCTGAACTTCAGAAAGGCCATGTTAAAGAAAGAATGTTCCAGATTTTAGGTTATGCTTATTACTAGTGAAACGTCAAGCAATAAAATCTAAACCATATGGAGCTTCATCCAGAGAGTCAGTTATTCAAATCATTCTCTGCACAGCTCCATGTGCCATGAGCAGGCCAAATACATCAGGAAGAAACTATTAATGACCAAGAGTCATTAGTAGCATGTGTTAATTATTTAAATCTACATATTCTCTTTGCATTCCATTTACAATATATGGGAACTGCATTTGGAAAATAAATACAGTACCTAATAACAAACAAAAAAGAAAGAAAGTTTAAAAAGAGCACAGCAGGTGCCCTGGCTACAGTGTTTCTGACCCTTTCCTGATTTTTTTTTTTTTAAAATAGAGTAGTGCCAGGCTCACAGGGATCAGGATGTGCTTAAACACTTTGGAACAGCTCAAGCTTAGCAGGGAGGGAAACCCTGCTTACTTAAATGGATGGTATTAGCCTGAGATGACTTGGAGTTATGCAACTTGCTGGCCATCAAGAAACCCTGTGCATTGGCCTGGTAAGATTTCCCAGCTGTAATGAAAGGAGTCTGCAGTAGATTACATAAATGACTGGTCAAATGGGGAACTGCTTCAAAGAAATAGCTGATAAATTAAGTGGTGAAGGTACATACGCTTCTTTACTTGTGATGCCTTTTCCTATTAAATTATCTGAATGGAGAGAGGGCAGTGATGGAAAAGAACTAGCCATGCTCTACTTGATCCTTTCCTCTTCATTACTCTAAGATTGGACTGAGAAACAAATTGCTTGTTTTTGTAGGGAGTAAGGACACTATTTTTCCTTACTTGCAAGGATGCCATTTAAGGGCATATATCTCACACATAATTACACAGCAACACATTATTCTATGATGTATCATTCATATTCTTCATCTCTGATCCTCCAACTTTGCCAAAACGTATTTCCAATTTTCTCTATAGTCATAAAGAGACCTTCTGACAAAGCTCTCAGAATAAGATCCGAAGAGAATATTAGTAAATAAAATGGGAAAAGTGCTGGGGAAATCCAGACAATGAAAAACAATCTTTTATCATGGCAGAAACTTGAAGAAGCCGACAGGAGAAGCCAGCATCAGCTTGAGAACCTGGAAAGAGAGCAAAGGTTCCTAAAGCGACGATTGGAGCAGTTGCAAAGCCCTCAGGACATTGAGCGAATACGAATGGACAGCACTGGATCAACCATGTCCTCAGATCGCTCTGATTCAGAGCGAGGTCAGTATTTGATCCCTCCATATGTTGATTAAAGACACAAAATGTTCAATTCTCTTTGCTCCGTACAATTTCTTTGCTTCAATCTATGAGTAACCGTACTTTCATTCAGATCCACGAAGGAGGCACAACTTGAGTGACTCTTGTTTGGAAACATATGTCATCTAAATTTTTCATAGATGCTTAGGAGTCTTTAATATCCCTATTAGATTTAACAGATCTTAAAGTTGTTTAATTTTGCTCTCTGTCTAAAATATATTTGATATGTTTTGCCCATTTGGGTTGAATTCGTACAAGGGTCGTAGGAGCCTTGATGGTACAGTGGTCTAAGCACCCTGTTATTAACACAGCTGCCTGCAATTACTGCTGGTTTGAATCTCTCCAAGGCTCAAGGTTGACTCAGCCTTCCATCCTTTCTAAGGTAGGTGAAATGAGGACCCAGTTTGTGGGGTCAATAAGCTGACTTTGTATAAAATATACAAAAGTATGAAGGCTATTGCTTAACGCATTGTAAGCCGCCCTGAGTCTCCGGAGAAGGGCGGCATATAAATCAAATTAAAAAAAAAAAGTATCAGCAACTTCCAGGTCTACAGTATACCTACTTAAAATAATTTAATCATATGTATTTCATAAGTATGAAGACTCTGTATCTGTACTTGATTAAAAACGTATGTGGTAGACCTGAAATGGACAAACTATCTTACAAAGTAGTTACACCCTGGAATATTATTGCTTGGTTAATTGTCATTTGTACTCATCTCCTCTGTTTAATCCTCCAAATTTGCCAAGATATAAATTTGATTTTCTTGATAGTTAAAAACAACACTAATGATATTCTAGCAGAGCTTTCAAATTATTATGTAGTAGAAACCTATTTGGATACAGTTTATTTTCTTGTCTATCATGATACTATCATGATTTTTTTGACAGGAAAGGCATAAATGCTAAGACATCAGAAGATTATTTGCACATCATCCAGAAACAGCTTTCACTAGAATTATGGGACTGATATAAATACAATTCTCTTTAGTTCAACTTAGGCATTCAAATGAAAGAGTGCTTATGGTAAACATTACACCCATCAAAAGCTATTCAAATCAATGGCATGGACTCAAAATGTTCATGCAAATAGGCAAATGTCTGTAGGAAAAGTCTTTATGTATGAATACTTAGCTCTGCACTGGCAAAAAATATGGTAGTACAAGAAAGAAAGTGCTCATAATTCTATAGGCAAAGACTTTCCCCTACTATGAATACATGGAGAGGATTACCTTTGGGGTGAGGAGAGAACTTTTTTACATATGTAGGGTTTTTTTCCCCTTTCTCTTTCTGAATAGGGCTAGAGGCCTCTCTTAGCTTAACAATTATACAGTATATTGGGATTCTTGCTTTATGAAATTAGGATAATAAAATACCTTGCTTTCAGGTGGTATACTCAAACTGAGATAATAGAGAAAAGAGAAGTCAACAATTATGTGAGATGATAACCCTGTCTTATAATATTTGATTTTAACGTTGATTCATTTACACAAATTTCTCAGAAAGACATATTGCTGCTGCTTTTTAGATGAATGTTCGATTCAGGAATTAAATGCATATTAGTAAGTGTTTCCCCTTGAAGTTTTTGTTATCCTCTGAGAGTGTTGAGACACCATGCTCGATAAACCAAAAGAATGTGGGGTGTTTTTTTTTTAATACAGTATACATTTGGGCTTACCTGGGTCCAGATGCCACTGCATTTTTACAGATTTTGTCAAGGCCATCTGCCCTAACCACCTTAAAAACATTTTTTTAAAAAATCTGCTCAGAAAGTATTTCTAATTACTTTGAGCAACTGATAAACTGATACTTGGGCCTGTAGCCATTCTTCTCTCTTGGCCTAAAATACATCTGAGACTACATAGATCCAGAATATTTTTGAGAGAGCTAGACGACACTGCAACAACAGAGTTTAAAGCTTTACTGGAATAGAAAACTCAGTTAATCAAGAGAATTTAGGCAACACTACCCTTCCTGTTTCACAAACAATCCCAATGATCCATGATTTCCTTCTATAATCTTCTGTTATTTTGCATTACTTCTTCAAATCCTTAATGTGGAACTTTAAAACTTCAACTACTCAAAGCGGTTTTATTATATGAACAGCAAATCTATCTTGGTGTGTGGTAATGCTCCTTAATGTAGACTGAGAAATCTGTTTGAGTGGGTAGATGAGAGGTCTATTCATGTATAGAATATTGAATTAGTATCTATCATTTTAATCCAAGGCACAGTGACTAGATATAAATATTGAATTAGCAATCAAATGATAGCTGGCTATTAATACAAATTTGTAAAAATGAGTCAAGTCCAATCTCTTGTAATTCTTTCAAAATTCTTATCACTATCACAATGCACTTTTCTCTCTTTTGTTCTTCATTTTTTCAAAGATTTCACCGCACAACTTTACAATAACTCCTCAGGACATGGTTGGAATGAACCTAGATCAGGCCTGTCAAACTGGCAGCCCGTGGGCTGGATATGACCCATGCAGGTCACGCCCACCCCAGCTCCACGAAGGCAAAAAACAATAAGGCCTGCAATGTGAGCGGGTTTGACACCCTTGATCTAGATTCTTCAGGCAGGGATGGTTTTAAATAAATTTACTCTGATACTAACTTGGGACTCTTTTTTTTTCCCCAGAAGAAATTGAAGTGGATGTGGAAAGCACAGAGTTCTCCCATGGAGACGTGGATGATATCAGCACAACCAGTACAAGTGACATTGATGATCACAGCAGCTTGCAGAGCATTGGGAGCGATGAGGGTTACTCCAGCGCTAGTGTCAAGCTCTCCTTCACTTCCTAGAGCCTGGTGCTAGAGCAGAGCAACTGGTTTCTTTGGGGCAACTGAGTTTCATATGGCAGAGCTCTTAAGATACAGTATTTTTCTTACCCAACCCACCCTTCAACAGCTAAGCTTGGACAGACACAACTTTAGAATAGCTCCATGGGTCCATGGAAGAGTGAGGACCTAGCAGAGGAACCAATTAGTCTTTAACTGACCATAACCCAAAATTTTTGACTTAGTGTTAAACTTCAGTTAATTTCAAATCCAGGACACCATTCCAGTTACACATAGCTGGACTGAGATTTTCCCATCAGTAATGGATACCTATATTGAAAGATGGCTTGGATGGGAAACTTGGCTGTTCAGGTGCTTGCTTTTTAATTTGTCACCATTGGGTTTTTTTCCCTCCTCATGTTCAAACTTAAACAAACTTGTTACAAGACCCTTGTGGTGCTAATAATAAATAATATAAGGTATGTCCAATATCTATGATAATCTAGCATATCTGGAATAGCTGTATGTTTTTCCCAAATAATGGGATAAAGTAGTTCATTGGATGAACCACTTCCAATGCATTTGCACAATACTTTGAAGTTTGGTTTTTTTTAAAGCTCCATTTTAAATTTCTTTAAATTCCCTCAATTTTTTTAAATTTTGTTTTTCTTCAATATAACTAAGCAGTTAAACAATTTTCCTGTAGCCTCACCAGCAAAAGTTAGTCCAGTCAGCATCTTTTATTAACTGGGTATCTCTAGCCATCTTTGATCATTATCATCTGAGAAATGTAATAATAGCAAAATGTTCTGCTTATAGCTCAATGTTTCAGCTGGACTTGGTTTCAAGGCAAGAAACTGGGCTGTACGATTTTACCACTAGATTATTGAGTTGTAGCAGGCCACCACAGGTGCAACCATGCTCTGGATTCAGTGGCTGAGCTAGAATGATTCTCCTGATAGAGGGTGAGAGACAGACCAACCTGTAAAACAAGCGATGATGTGCAGAAAAGACACAAGTCTCCATTCTGAGCCACAGTTACCTATTTTTTTTTCTTTTGCAAATTATTTTGATGAACATTTTTAAAAGTTGTTTGGGTGAGATAACCTATACGTGACAATGTATTTTTAGATCTCCTAGGCATGATCCTGCAAATCTCTTTTATAATTAACACCAGTTGAAAGGGACTTGTTTCCTGCTGCCATGCACAAGAGGAACAGGGACTCCTTGGGTTTGATGGCTCTACCTTTTGGATTCCCTTTGCAGACTTTGGCACCTGGATTCCTAATATAATCTTGGATCCATAGCTAAGAAGCATCTCAACTTAACAATCTGCTAGGTTGATTTCAGTATCTCCTGAGCAGAAACTGTTGTTGTTTTGCAGTTAAAGAATAAGATTGTATCCAATGTTTTTATCATTGTTTTTATTTTGAACTTTCTAACCTGCACTTTGAGGTCTTTGCTTTTCTTTAAGCTTTTTAACCACAGAGATACTTATTACTGTTCCTTTACCAAGTTTAAACTTTATTCTTTATTTTGAGACTTCATTTATGACACTTATTTGAGGATTTTGTTTGGGAGGGGTAGTAATTTGCCTGTCCCCCAATTACTAAGGGAAAAAACTGAAAAGTAAAAAAAAAATGCTTTATAAACTCATAACTTATTGCTGATTATAATTACTGGTTGTTAATTTCAGTCCTGTAGATCTTTAATTTTATTGTTTAGATAGGACTGGGTGACAAAAAAAATAAAACAAAATAACCTCATTTAGCAGTACAGTGAAATTGTGTTTAAATGTTAGCATATGTTTCTGCTTAATAGTAGCACTTTAATACCATTAAACATTTCTGTATCTGAAATACGTTTGTTCTGCCATGTTGGTCACTCATGAGACTTTAGAATACTCATGTTGTTTGTGCCTGAAAAAAAAACCCCTCCATTGGCCATGTGATTAGATACCCCAAATGACTTCTCCTGTAGATCTTGTCTCAGTACTGTTATGTTGTGTGATTTAACTCCAATGTGTTAGGCATTTACCCCAGAGCTATTATTATATTGTATAACGTACCACTTTAGGACCTGTGTCATGTATTAGAGACATCATGCTGCCAGGTTTTATAGTGTGTTCATAGCTGGGGTTTTAATTCTTCTGTTCATTAAAATCTGGTTGCAGTTACACATCTCTCTCCTATGGAACTAAAACTAAGTAACACCAGTTTATATGGTAACCTCTCCCTCTTGTGGCTGAAATAGGAATTGTTAGTTTTAGTTAATGAGAGTAAAGATTTCAGTAAGAACTTTTTAAAATTCTGAAGCCTGTTAATTTGACTAGTGTCTTAGTGCAATTTGGTGGGATTGCAAGAATGATCACTGGAAACTCAAATGAGATGTCACTCCCAATCTACGATTTCTTATCCCAGCAAAAAACTTGTTTCTGTGAATTCAGCTGCAGAAACTTACTTAAAAGAGTGTGTTTTCTCTAAGCAGAGCAGCCTGACTTCAAATTTTAATGATGTCTTCACCAGCCCACTGGGTCTTAGTGTGTTAGAACTAGAAAGGCAGGGCTGGATAATCAGTTCTAACACACTATCAATACAGGGGACAGGCAGGAACCTGATGAGAAGCCTGATATAGTGGCTTGCATGAGAAAATCATTTCAGGAAAAGACTGAAGAAACAGCCTTGACTTAAAGTCTGGAAAGTTTGCCTCAAAAGAATGCTCAGCTTTGATTAATACTATCTTAAATTAAGATTGTGTAAAAATGATTCTGCACCAATTCATTCCCAATAAATTATGTTTAGTCCTAATGCAAAAACATTTAATCATTCACCTTATGTTATTGGACCACCATTTGTCTGAAATGGTATAGGGGTTCCTGCCTGGGTAGGGGGTTGGAGTAGAAGACCTCCAAAGTCCCTTCCAACTCTGTTGTTCTGTTCTATTCTGTTCATAACCTTCTTTGGTGTATTTGACTTGGTAAATAAGAAACTATAATCAGGATAGACATCTCTGGTGATAATATTTTTTCCATTTTACAAAGTGGAAAAAAAGTGTTAGGTCATTTATTGAGTAGGGTGTACTGCAGCCAGCCTGTCATAATCTATTGCGAGGACATACTATATATTTTTCATAAATGTGAAACCATATCCTTCATTAGCCTTTTACGTTTTGGGATGTTATACTTGTTCCTTATCTTCAATTCACAACCTTGTATATTTTTTTTTCCACCATACAAAAATTGGATTCTGGTTTGGAATATAATCCTATGCAAGTTTACTTAGAGATAAATCCCGCTATGTTCCATGGGACTTACTCCCATTTGTATCTGCATCAAATTAAGCCTTAGATTCAGACATGAGGTTGTATACACTTTTGCATTTAAAATGCAGGGTAATTTTTTTATATAATGGGAGTGGTTGTATCAGCATCCAAGCAGGGCAGTCTGAGGCAAACCCTATTTTTCTGCTTTGGAAAATCTCTTCTGAAGGTGGCATTAGCTTTGGAGAGAAAAAAATGCCACCAGTTCAAAATCATCTATGCATCTTGATGTTAGCCACCTCAAAAGGCTGAATAAGAAATGCTATTCTCTAACATGCTATGCTTTTATAATAAGCAGTTCAGACAGCCATTCTAGTATGATCTGAAAAAGTCACATTCACTGATACATCATTCCAAATCTGTGCCCTTATCTTCTACTTGGCAATACTGTGTGTATGAGAAGAATGATTCTGTATTTTAATGAAAAATAAAGATGCAAGAGGGCATTTATACTTGTTACATTCAAAAAGAAAACCAGGATTCCTATAAAGTTATTAAATTTTCACTTATGGCAAGTAAAATTGTTGTCCATATGGCTTACACTGCTTCAGACTGAGATGTTTTGTATTTCTTAGTTCTACTAAGAGAAAATTTCCAAGACTGAAACAGAATTTATATACATTTTATTTAAATATGTATTTTGGATGTTTTTTATGGATTATTTGGAGAGGTGTCCTCTGTATCCAAATTTACATCATTTGTGTCAATTTAAGTGAATGGTATAATTTGCAGTAAAAACTTCAGTTTATTAGATAAATTATAAGAGTCCAAATGAAAAATTTTGTCTGTTACTTCAAAAATGAGTCAAAGGAAGGGTTTACTATGTAATGCAGGCTATTGGGTACTTTTTCTTTCATGATATCTTGGATCAAACTAGTGGCTAAATTTTAACTTTTTAAAAAGTTTTTAATGCTAAATTCTAGGATATTGTAACTTGTTTTACCAACAAGTTTAATTATTTAAAAATTCTGATTTTTAGAATCCTGAAACCTGTCTTGGCTTTTATTTTATTTTTTTTCTCTTTAGTCATCTTGTACAGAAGAATTGGGGAATTCAGTTATATCCATTTACCAATTCAGTTGGGCATATACCAAAAAGGTGGAAATAGGGCTATATACTTATGTGAAATAAAAGAAGCAAAGACAAGTAAGGAAGTAAAAGCTTCAGAAAGCAGAAACATTTGGTATATCTTAATCGGGTCAATACTTTTTAGGAGTTTATTAAACAGACTTACTGGAAGCAATAGTTAAATCACTTTTCATTCTGACATATCCATTCTATTTATCTCACTCTGTACAGGTAGTTTTTAACCTTATGACTATTTATTTAAAGACTAAGCAAAGTCACACTGGCATTGAAAAAAGTGACTTACACCTGGCCCTCACACTTACCACTGCAGTGTTCATGCAGTCATGTGAGCAAAATTTGGACACTTGGCAACCAGCACTTATATAGGACAACTATAGTATTCTGGAGCCATGCGATTGTCCTTTGCAACCTTCCCAGGGGGTTCCAGCAAGCAAAGTCAAGATGGAAGACATATTTGCTTAATTACCACAGCAAAAAGATTATAAAATCATATGCAACTCACTAATGACTACATTGCTTAGTGATTAAAGTTCTGTTCCCAATTGTGCTTGTAAATTGAGGAGTACCTGTCCTACATCAGTTGGTAAATATAATATCCACCGGTATCCAAATTACAAAAAATAATTTGGAAGAGTTTATTTCCTTGTGTATACTGGCTGACATTTCCTTACAAAAAAAGGAATATTAAAAAAAAAGATTTGTCAGCATTACTAGAATTTTATTTTATTTTTTGCAGCTGTTTTACTAATTAGAATCTTGATTGTATTATTTAGCTGGTCAAATCAGAAAACATATAAAGAATGCTTGACATATGCTAAAAAGTTTTTTTAAGGGATTCTAAAGATCCCTTAAACATTGTGCACATCTTTTCAAAAATAGCTAAGACACAGTATACTGAAGTAGTTCTAGATAATATCAGTTGGAAGTACCTCACTTTATTATGTAAATGCTTCCTCCGCTCCCACAGAGAGGGTCTCCTCAGGGTGCCATCAGCCAAGTTATGTCGGCTGGCGACACCCAGGGGGAGGGCCTTCTCTGTGGGAGCCCCAGCCCTGTGGAATGAACTGCCCCCGGAAATACGCAAGATCTCCGACCTCCGGGTGTTTCGTTGCGCATTGAAGACCCTGTTGTTCTGCCAGGCCGGGCTATCGACATGATAATTTTAAATTGGGGTATTTTAAATTTTTGGGGTTTTAAATCGGCCAAATCTATTTAATTATTTTAATTTTTAATTATTGTTGTGTCTTGTGTTTTTAAATTGGCTGTACACCGCCCTGAGTCCTTCGGGAGAAGGGCGGTATAGAAATAAAATTATTATTATTATTATTATTATGCTTCAGATATTGCTATCATCTTTGGTATTCTTCTCCATCCTGTAATAACATGTAGAATACAGGGTTTTGTTTTGAAATGTTCTTCTAGGAATTTAACAGCAACTGCAAACAGTAAATCTTGTCTGCAAAATAAGCAGGAGTTTGTATCTCAGGGCCAGTTCACAATAGCACTGGACAACGTGACTAAAAAAATACACTGATCAATTTTTCAAGATATGAGCCAATGGTTCTGCCTTTAGAAGCTTTCAAAAATAATTACTATCCTGTGCTATGCCAAAGGTTGAATTTATTAACAGTCTGGCAGAAATAGTCTGAAGAAATAGTCTGGCAGGATTTTCTAGTGGTTATTACTATGAGTCTATGGCATGCACTGGTCAGCTCACTCAATCTGTATTTTTATTTAGGGTATAAATGTTGAAACAATAAAGCAAATAAATACCAACAGGGTAAGATCCTATGACTACAAATAACTTGAACATCCTTAACTCTAACCACTGTATATTTTATTTCTATCAGCAAAAGAAACTTAAGAAACCAAATACAATGATCCCTAAAAATATAGTCATAGAATAATAAAATTATTAAACCCCCATGAAGGAGCTTCATTAGGCTACTTCCTAATAGTACTTAAATACACATAGCAAACAAGTCAGGAAGATGAAAGCCAATTTACTGGATCCAACACTACCAATTTCAGCTAATTTATTAAGGGAGAGTATACAAAGCTGCAATTGGTCATAATGAGGGGAATATATGCAGGCATTTTTTTCTCTATAGTAGCTTGCTGGCTGTTTTAAATTGCTTATTAAGCTCCATTTGGAGTACATTTCAAGGAGATGCAAGCTAGCATCATGTATGTATAAAATGTTATCTATTACAATAAATATATAATTCAAATAAATAGCAAGATAGTTATTTTTACAGACAAAACTACTCTGGCAGTGCTGACAGTGCTTTTATTAAAATTATCTGGTGCACAATTCTGCACTACTATCATATTACTTGCATTAACTTGCTTTTTAAAATCACAATTGCTAGAAATTACTTTCCATGTATTATTTTCCTTAACTACCACACCATGTAGATCTTGGATTTGTAAAGATTATTCTTACTAAACCGAAGTATATAAACCCTGCTTGTGATTTTCAAACCTACTCATAGAAAGGATATAATTCTAGTATGACATCTTAGTTGGAAAACCCCGAGCTTTTACTGTTTTGCTACTTAAACAAGCTAATGAAATTGCAATGAATCTTACTAGCATTTAAGTTTGTAGCTATTATGAAGGAAAGTAAATACAATGCAGGACCTTATGCACTCATTTTATCTTCTATCATGTTAGACAGTATCTAATGCAAAAATTAGGGTTGTGCCACTATAATGTTACTCAGATATCAGAAGAAAAAAATCAGGAAATTTTTTCAGTTTTTAATAAATCATGGAATTCTTTTGCAATCTTTAAAGGGGGAAATCACATGGTGCTGTGATTCTACATAGTACTATGATATTGCACTAGTCTGAGAATGCAATTCCAATCTTAAATAAATGTATCTGAACAAATACTGTCTATTTTGACCACGTAAGAACTTCAGTGCAAGCTCACTTTTAAGATGTCTTCTATCATTGTTTCAATTCCTTTGAACTTGCCTGAACTATGGCAGTTATATATTGACTTTATAGCCAACTGGTATTTTTTGAGGATTTGAATGCTACAAGACATCCCAATAAATATTTAATACGCAGTTTGACCAGTGCTAGTCTATAAAACAATACCGAAATGCTGATTGCATCTCTCTATCTGTAATGGTGCAGGGATGGTGCTGACAACATTATTGCATTTTCATCATTGTAAACATAATTCTTTTGTTTGTGGCCATCTATATTAACTTGTTTAAATATATAAATAAATTTTATGACTTTTTTTTCAAATAAGTTTGTTACTTTTCTACTTTCTGGTATCACCTATATCAGTGATGGCTAACATTTTCCGGACCAAGTGCCCAAAGCGTGCGCAAACCCCCAAAATGCAATGCACATGCGGCTCCCATATGCACCTTGCTCATGCCCGCACTGCCTCCCCGCACACACTCTGCCCCCTATGCATGCGCCTACCCCGGCATGCACGGCAGAGACCCGAAGACCAGATGGCTGGCAGGAAGCGTGCGCGCTTGCGCAGCGGAGCTGAACTAGGGCGACGGCTCACGTGCTATCAGAGAGGGTGCTGCATGCCACCTCTGGCACGCGTGCCATAGGTTCGGCATCATGGACCTATATTAATAGAAGTTTCCAAAACACAATCAACAGTGCTTAACTCCAGTGCTCACATGCTTTGAGAATTACATCCTAGCATTTCAAATGGGTGCAGCAGCATCTGTGCTGGACGTTCCTGCCCATGTTGGGTTGCATGCTCAATACCTATAACACAGATTAATTACAAGTTGTTGTTTGTTCAGCATTCTCAGAGGAGCAAATTTCATGATGAATCACAAGTTGCTTTTGAAGTGGTTTCCAAGATATAATAAAATTTTGTAAAGAAGCAATAGCTCAAGACCTATTCTGGATACAAGAATTAGTTACAGACTCAGATCCTAAGCTCCTTTAGTGAATTCAGTTTGTGTTTGTTCTTTTCCAACAATTCTAGCTTTATGTATTTTAAAAACTTTTCCCAAATAAAGAAGGTACTTATTTATCCATAAAATAATATAACACAAAGTTTGCAACTAGGTTGTTCAGTTAGTACCCAAAGGTTCAAAATATAATCATATTATGTCCAGGACATACCTTTATATGAGCATTTTCCTCATAAATGGAAAAACTAGCACATTTCTACCCGGATTACCCATTTCTCCTCCTCTTTAGTAATACTATATCAACTTATATCAAATCATTTTAACAAGGTTTTAGGGACATAGCAAACAGATTTTAAACACTTTATTTTAATAAAAGTTACATACAAAACTGAGATCAACACAGTAATAAAAATTATTTTGCCTTTTTGTTGACGGGAAGAATCTACAGGTGGATTATAATCTACTAGTTATGGATTTAAATGCAGATAAACTGGCAGACTTTCACTAATGAATGTATCAACAAGTATTGATGTTACCTGATTTTAATTCAGAAAACAAATTACAAAAGGGAACTACAATGTAACAGACATAAGCAATGGCGGTCAGATTAATGAGCAAGAATTACTTCTGAATTATTTAATAAGAGTAATAACTAAATTCACTCTTGTTCATTAACACCATATTTTACAAAAATATTTATCTACACTGTATACAGGGCTATACATTAACTTTTTCTCTCAAACACATTTGCAAGATTAAAATATGTCATTACTACCCTAAGCATTACACACAGCGAAGGGAAGCAATTTCATCCAGAAGAGACAAGAATGCCAGAACATTTACACATGGTTTTCCAAATAAAATCAAGAATGTTCAGCTAAAGTAATACAGTTGGATTGTGGCATTATTGGGAAACAACACCAACTATACTTAAGTATAGCTGGATCAACTGTAAAACTGCGTAAGCACTAAATGACTCTTTGCAGTATGTTAAGTAACTGCATCATAATAAGCCATTAAGTTTTGGAAATAACTTCCAATATAATTAATATTTCCCAGTTTTAAAGTGCTAGTCCATCCTTGAAAATTACTGAGAAAAACTTATGCAGCTCATAACTAAATCCTTATTAACTTTAACTTCTATAAATACACTTTCCAGTTTGCCAGTGCTAAACATGTTTTTTTCTGACGAGATATCCTGCTTTTTTCCAGACTTATAAAATTTGGTATTTAGAAACGCAATAAAATCAGCCAGTTCCTAATATTTTTTCACTCCAGAGAGAGAAAAGAAAACTCACTTTCACTCATGAGGTTTTTTTTAACTATAACAAAACGTTTGGCAGGTTTCTAAGCTACTCCATACTGAAATATTAAGGTCTCATATGTAGTTAGGGCGGGGGAATCTCCAAATTCTTGTACCAGGTTTGGACTGACTTAGGAAGTTATGATACATTTCGATGCTAGCTAAACCACTGGATATAGAATCACACAGCATTAATGAAAGGATGTGTGATTTGGGAACAAACCCTCATCTTGAGGAAACAGTCATTGTTAAGCATAAATTCTGTTTAGCTATCTTTTCCAAGATTGTATGTCTAGGGTTCTGCTTTTTCAGATGAAAAATCCGTCCTATCAGCACATTCCAGTCTGTATTTAATCAGAGTAAAATCCCAATAAATATTTCAACTGAATTATTTCTGAACAAATAAAAAACAATAGTGCTCTTGTAGGAAGGTAACAGGACTGTTAGATATCAAACAGAGCAAAAATATGGGATAATTATTTTATTACTTCTTTGCTTGGCAGTATTCTCAGTATGTGCCTGAGTAAAGACACTATCAGATTGAAGGCTTCAAAATATTGCAAAGGGCATTTCTTCAACACTCTAACTTGTGCA